TCACGTTATGTCATTTTATATCGTCCCATTACGTACCAAAGGAAAAGTGTTGAACAGGAATTCAGTTACGGGAACGAGTTTCATTATCTGTAAAAGCGACAATACGAGAGAAATTAGATTAAAATTCAGCCACGGTGAATAGGAGAGGAGTAAATAATGAAAAAGAATGCGGAGATAGAATTAGCTAATTTACGGTTATTCACCAGTCCAGTGGATGGAATCACTGAACAAATTAGCCCCAAAGTGCCTCGTAATAAGTTTAAGAATAACAGAATTAGCATCGCAACTGTGAATGACTTTGTAAAGAAAAACGTCTTCTTGAGATCTAATTAGCATTAAGCAACCACTTTGTCCGTACGATACTTCATTTTGTAGAGAACGAGAGTTGATTCGAGTTAAACAACTTAGAAAATGAATTACCTCCTTGCTCCTCGGTTTATTATATCGAACGATACACTTTTTGCTAACTTTGCATCAAGTGATCCTTACAATTAACAAAATTAGGTATTATGTAAATACTACATTTTATTACACGTGATTAACCCTTCCACGCGCGATGCTTAGCGTCGTTTTCAGTTTTCCGTGTGGAAAAATTACCTTTAGAAGTATTACAAAATTATCCTGTCGAATTTCACTTTTCTATATTATGTATATACGAGATCACGCATAGAAGGGTTAATTTCCATTAAATGCTACATTAATACGTTCGCTGTCCCGAACGAAATGTACTACTATTTAAGAGGATCTTCTGGTCTAGAGCGTCGAAAAACACGCAATTCTGCAAAGGAAACGTATGTTCCTTTCTCTTCAAGAAATTCATTCTAATCTGAAACAAAAATAAAATTCCTGAACTTAGCACGAGTATATAGTTCAAAAAAATGTCGAACGTTAAATGACACTTTGAAAGGAAAAACATCGAGATTACCCTAGACCAGTCAAACTAGTTACTTTTTTCTTAATACAAAAACAAAAGGATATATTCAACGCATCTCTAAGGCAAAAAACGCTAAACAAAATTTTATATTCGCGATGCGCTAGACCAAAAGACCCCCTTATTAAAATCCAATATTATATAACCCTCATTAATTGCTATTGAAAAGGATCAATTATCAATTTCTTGCAACGAAATACAATACACCTACACCACTCATTCTCATTCGTTCATTTTTACCTCCATTATATCTTCAAGAACCTGACCATCCTTCCCTTACAAATTTCCTTTCCATCTCTCTCCTCACCCTTTTCTACTCCCTCTCGGATTCTCGCTTGACCTCTTCCGGCTGCAGCGGCATTATTTTCCCTTTTATCGCGTCCTCCCTTTCTCCGTATTTCTCTCCATTTCCCCCGATTCCGCGGCGACGATGAGATGTCCCTTTCCTTCTCGCCGGTTTTTCCGTCTTCGTCCCGCTGCCGATATGTCAGCCTGTTGCTTCGCGCGGCTCTCCCTCCCTCTTTCTCTTCTCTGTCTCTGTCTGTCTGTCTATCTGTCTGTCTCTCTCTCCGTCTTCTTCTCTGTTCTCTTTTTTCTCGATGCATGGCAAGTCGAGGCAAGAGAGTCTGCTGCTGCCTGGCTTGCTCGCCTGCCTGCTACCCATTCACGCGGTGCATGTGTCCAGGGTGAATGGCACGTGCACGGTGCGTCACTTACCACGTCGCGTTAGACCGTGAGACCGAGACGCGTACTACGATTATCGTGTACGGCTAACTATGCGCCCGTGCGTACCCGCCTTGCAGATTATCGTAATTTCTTTACCACCTTCCGGTTAACTGTTTGAACACGGGACCAGCTCGAAGGGGAATCCCTTGTTATAGACAAGACACGATCTGTGTTTGATGGTTATTAGTAAACGCGAAAATTATTCGAGTGTCGTTTAATGTATGAAATATTAGTTTACTGTGTGTGATAATTTTGTTACTAGTAGTATTTTTTTTTCTTTTTTACGAAATTTATCAGTTTGTTCGAATGTTTCGCTAGATGCGTATGGAAGATGGTTTTTTGAGGTTAAGTAGAAAGTTAACGGGTTAATGGAAGTTATTAAACGAAATATTATTAACGAACTAGTCTTTTTGGAGGTATTCGAATTTTTAGTTACGAAATTAATAGTTCCTTACGGGTTTCGAAATGCGATGTACTTGTGCCATGATTTGATCGAACCGCCAAATGTGTATTAACATTTCCACTAAGAAGAACTGGGAGTCATTTTGAATAACTCGAAGTTTAAAAATTTACGATTCCTTGAGAATATTATTTAAAATGATAAATATGAGCTATTAATATTTTGATTTCTAGAAATATCAACTATTTAAAGATAATTAATTTACAAGTTGAAAATTCTGTGTTTAACTACAACTTTTTTCGTTTCCGTTACCGAGTCTATTAATTGATTACGGTTCTAGCTATAATTCAGAAATAGGTGTAGATCAAGTTTTACTCAAGAATAGAGTAAAATAAACTATTTTAAAAGGGTAACAATATAAAATTCGGACAATTCCTTCTATTTTTTCCTAAACGAAATTTCAATTAATCTCTTATAAAAGTTTGGCGATACTTTTTACTCTCGCCACCAGAGGGACGATACATGAAAACACTTCTTAAAAGCTATCGCCTAACCTATCATTCACTCCACTAGCAATATCTTAACAAAATTTACTCTATTCCCTTTTTCTTCCTCTCTGTCTTCCATAATACTATCTTACCGTAAATAAAAAAGGCAAATGATTGCGAGTTTGTCGATTAAATATTGCAAAGTGCGAAATAAGTATCTTATATCAAGTTCGGGTCGCACTGTTGTGATCTCACCAGGGAGTGATGCAAAAGCAGTATCCATACATATTCCACGTGGCTGTTCGTGCCAACATTTTGCGCGACTCGTGGCAAAGATCTGTGACAAATTAGAAGTATCCAAGCGTAGAAGTTGTAATTTATGTATGCGCGTAAACATATTGTAAAATCAGCATAGTATGAGCTATATTTTAACGTGGCGTGCTACTGACACGTTATCGCGGCTTTTTATGTGAAACCGTGTCTTCCATAAGTCGTTGAAATTAATCCGTCGTCGGTCTGGACTTGAAACGGACGCGCGAGAATGTAACTAGAAAATATCGCGTGTCTATATATATATGTATATTCGTTTCTCTATTCTAGACCGTGTGTAATCCGATCCGGCACCAGAGAAGTGCACAACAAATTGGAGAAGAATCGAAGGGCGCACCTGAAACAATGTTTTGAACTGTTGAAGAGGCAGCTACCATCCCAGGAGGAGAAAAAGTCATCGAATCTTTCGATTCTCCACGCTGCTATCAGGCACATACAGGTATGTGATTGATAATTTGTAATTATACGATTTTCTTAATAAGTAAAAGTTTATAAAATACATCGAAACGTGTTAACACTTTGAGGTTATTTTTTCTTTTATGCAAGAGTACATTGGTAACATAAAGGATATGAAAGAACGTTCTCTTTTGTTTATTTCATCCATAAGCGTTTTTGTCGATGTAAATTATAAAAATTCCAAGTTTTTTCGTGTTACATCAGTTACATCTCGTTTCGTCCAACTTATCTTCAGACGCCCGACTTTCGAATCGCGAAACAACAAGCAAGAAGAGCGATATGCACTGTCTACTCGACAGAATTTTTCAGATGTCGCTTCCGACCGCTTACGTAAATTTTTCTTTTTCTCCTATCCATATTTGCGTCTGTGATTGCAATTATTGTGTCTTTAAAGCAGACGCCTGTACATTATCGACGACCTCCAACTTCGGTTTCGTTTCATGTTATTCATGAATTCCTTTTTTCCGCCCGTATCTTTGACACATTGCCATACGCAGCCCGTTTATTCCGATATATTGCCCGTGTTATCGGGCATAATAATTTTCACGCGAAAAACTAACCGACAGAGGCAGCGTTTTCATTGTCGCCTATTTCTTTTTCTATTTTTCCTTATTTAATAACGTTATCGATATAGGTTATATGCAGGAACGCAGCTTGTACACCGATTATACCCTCTGTTTGCATACACGTAGCAACATTAAGCACGTCTACCGTAGAGATTAGGCTCGCACGCAAAACATTTCAGTATCGTAAAAAATGCTAATTGCGCTCCCCATTATGCCAGAGCGGTTTCCAGTGTCCCGGGTCGGCTGTTTGACCTAGCGTGAAATAAAACTACACACACGGTAATCCAGCACCGGGAGACGTATCGTCGTGGCACCTGAATGCGAGAGCACGTAATTCCGTCGTTCGATTCTCACGGTTGATATACCACGATATCGTCGATATCGCATTGACACGCGACTTTCCCGAAAATAAAAAAAGAACCAAGAGACTCTCGATCATCCTTTTACCGTGCAATCGAAGTCCATGTTTATTCTGCAGTTGTAACCTTTTGTACGCAAGATACAGCAATTTTCATTCTGTTAATCGGTTTGGTTAATGTATTGCGTCTCATGAATTACGTATCGGTGCGTGATGTAACACACCATGATGGTAAATAGCAATTAGTCGATCGAAGATAGTAGTGTGTAGTATCGAGGCGGAAATAAATCATTTTACTGTATTGATAGCGATGTTGGTGCAGACATGTGACGATGTTGTCTGTAGAAGGGAAACCTAACCTTAAACGTTTAATTTTTTCACTGCGCTCTTCGAAATTGGTAAAAATTTTAACCGGTTACTTGATTTTCATTCTTATAAGTTGAAGTATGATTTACTTTATATTCGGATACAGATATAACGATACAATTAAAACGGAGGATTTCTAAATAATTGCGAATTGAATCGAGTTTAACAAGGTTATAAAAGATTTTATCTCGAAGGAACAAACGTATAGTTTATTAAACACACTTGTTACGTGTATTTTTTCTTTTTTTCTGTTCAAATTCGGCCGAGTTGCGAAACGGACATTAACTTTACGTGCGACGACCAAGAGAATTGCGCGAATGCGCGTCCCCGCGAAGGTCGACCACACCTCCTCCTTTCAGTTCTTTCGTGATTCAACTACAACCCTACCACGAGCCTTTCGGCCTCTTCCTCGCGCCTCTGCAGTCCGTACTCGTGCTCCCACATCTTCGTCTCTTTTTATTCATCGGTCTCCTCTCTCTTTCGCCCCTCTCTCGTTAGCCAGTTTACTTTCTCTGTCCCTTTCTCCATGGTTTGCCATCTTGCTCGATCCGCGCATGTTTCTCTTTTTCCCTACTTACCGCACGATCTGTTTGTTTCTTTCCAATACGCGTACGGCATACATATCGTTTCCATCGTGCATATATACATGCAAAACCCGGGTAACATATTTCTTTTCCTCTTTTCCTGGTTACCTTCTTTTCCTTCGGCTTGAACGCGTGCACTTACAGTATATTATTCTACCTATTTGTTGGAATTACTTTTTTCATATTTTCTCGCTTTTTACAGTACATATACTCAGGTCTTTCCTTTCCATGTTATCATTTCACTCGTTCCTTTACTTATTCCGTGTTCTGTACACGGAGTCGTTTCTAGAGACACACGTTGCTCCTCCCACCACCGTGTTGTCATCTTTGTTTCTTTGTCTTTCGCTATCCCCACTCTTCTACCCAGTCTCGTCCCTTATCTCTTGTTCTTTTTCTCCTTCCTGACCTCTCTTTTCTTTCCGCGTGTATCTTCCATCTCGCTTTTTCCCTCCGACTGCGTTTCGTCTCTGCAGTTCCATCTCCCCTCCACTTTTCTCCAACCCTCTCTCCTTCCACTCTATTCCCCCGTCCGTGTCTGCCTGGCATTGTCCACGTACTCTTCCGTCTCGCTTCAGCCGCGTCCCTCTCGCTCTAGGTC